AGTGGTGGGTGGGGTTCAGGCCGGTACAAATTGATTTGTATTGCACCTGATTCCATGACACGTATGCAGCAGTGAGATCAAGAACGAAGGCAAGGGACGCGGAATATTCGTACCGTATGCGTTTGTGTACCGTACGGTAGGAGAAGGACGGTATGTTTTTTATGCAGTCGAGAAACATTYCGCTAAAACTACGAGTTCGAACCGTGCTGCGATTGACTCGTACGTTCATATGATAAGTATCGTATGTACAACAAGCACTCTTGCGAAACCTAAAAAATACGCAAGGCGTGTGTTTTTAAAAACTATTGCAGTACCKTACCGTGCGCACGGCTCCCATCTCCGAAGAACAATGAAGAATACCAATGAACGAATAAACGAAGGAATGAATCGATCTGCRTGCGTGAAATCTGCGATCGATTTTCGTGCAGCGCGGAACTGGATCATTCGTACACTTTTCGACGGCAGCGTTCAATACAGTACCACGGTACGATGCGGTACGGTACGTATGTGTCCTGGAATCCTGTAATAGCCAACGTATTTATAGTACTGAACCCGTACTAGTTCGGTACAATGGACTGAAAACAAACAAATTGTCATGCACCACCGCAACGAACGGGGATGACTGTGCTGCACGTAACTTTGCTATGGAACGGGACGGGGTACTTGTACCGATTACTTAGTACGTGCTGTACGTACGGTAAGTGTCCGAGAACATTTGGAAGCGTTGGGTCGGTTTTATCGTACAGGACTGTACGTAGTAMCGGGTACGGGTAGGACTACGAAGACAGGAAAAAAGGACCATCATCCGCGTCGTTCCCGGAGGGGGAGAAAGTGGCGATCGGAAAAAGCAAAAAGCCTTCTTCTCTCACCGAGAAGAGCACGAACAACAACGACATCGGCAACGACTTTAACAAAGCCGGACCGAGCGAATCGAAACAAGACGCAAGTTGCTCCTCGCAAAGATTGTATCTAAAAGGGAGCAGGCAGCGTTGCTGAAACAATCGACACCGCAACTCGCACTACTCGCAAGGCACTCCGCCAAACACCTTGCGATCCCGTTTCGCATCACATCATATCACATCACATCACATCACATCACATCACATCACATCACCCGGTCCTGACGCAGTGACTGTACATAGGACCGCGATTTGGTTCCAGTGTTAGTGCCAGTATCAATTCCACCGAGCAGATCAATAAGCAGAGAAGTTTGTAGACTGCAGTGCAACGGCCTGAGAAAAAAAAAACAGTCACAAACCAAACCAAACCAAACGGCTTGTTGCAGCCTTTTGTCCCATCGGAAGGACACCGAGGAAATCAACAACGCAAACCCATTGTTCACTGAAAGAACGGCAATAGAAACCGCTACCATGGTGCCCTCGATAAGTGAAGCGAAAGACACCATAGAAGAAAAGCCCCCGGAGGAAAAGAAGGAAAAGGCCGACGCCAAGGCCGACTCGGCGGCCACGGCTACGGAACCCGCGAAGAAGAAAAAGAAGAAGAAAAAAGAGGGCAACACCGCGTCGTCGTCTTCGCCGGCGTCCCCATCGGCATCGGCATCGGCCAACGGTTCCTCCAAGGACAAGGAAAGCGTGGCCGACGCCAAGAAGGAAAAGGAACCCGCAGAGAAGAAGAAACAGAAACCCGCCAAAGACGCCGGGGACAAGGCCCCGGAGGAGGACGCCAAAGCCAAACCCGAAGCTTCTTCGGAAACGGGCAAGCCGGCCGAGAAAGAGGCCGAACCCGCCAAACCAAAACCGCAGAGCAACGATCCCAGCGAGGGACCGGTGGTCTCCGCTTCCAAGCGGACGCGGCCCCCCTACAAGTACGACCCGGAGAAGGTGACCCTCCGCTTTTTGTTTGCGAACAAGGAYGGCCTCACCGTCACGGTGGAATGCACGCCGAACGACACCGTGGGAGAGGTCAAGGSCCGGCTCCTGTCGGTCTGGCCGGAAGGTAGGTTTTTGTTGTCGCCAATGCGGTTGTCGTTGTTGTTGCAATTGTTGTTGCAATTGTTGTTGCTATTGTTGTTGTTGCCATTCTTTAGTGCCATTGTGTTTTGCGCACCTGGATGCGATCATGCATTGCATTCGCAATCTCATCGATTTCGAATCCCCCCACRCGAACCATCGATGTGACACAACGAAACCAAACGAAACCAAACACAACACAACACCAAACACAACACATCAGACCTCCCGAGCTGCTCGGGCGGAGATCAATTGCGCCTGATTTGTATGGGCAAGGGCGTCCTCATGCCCGACTCGAGGACGCTCCGGGCCTGCGAGGTYCCGGTCTTCAAGACGCACCCCACCCCGGTCAACGTTGCGGTCCGCCCGAAGACGGCGATTCCCGTGCACAAACCCAGCCGCGGAAAAGACGGCGGTTCCCGCGGGGTGGCTTCCCAGGGAAGTCCTTCCGTCAACGTCGCGGAACAGAGCGGACAGGGGTGCGGCTGCGTCATCAGCTAGTGTTTGGTGTGTGTGTGTGTGTGTGTGTAAGTTGGTGGGTGGGTTGGTTGCGGCCGCCTTGCATCGTCGGATGACATCAGATCGCAGCACGGCACGGCATAGCGTAATAGGTTACGGTAGGGCACGGTAGTACAAGCGGCGGTGTTCGCTATCTCTTTGGGAGCGGAGCGGTGCAGTGCAGTGCAGTGCAGTGCATCACAGTGGAAAATAATATTGCTCTGTCGGGGACTACACCATTGGTCTGGCGTTTCTTGTGGATTTGTGGTGGAGCTCGGTGGGTGCCGCGCCATCTCGCATCGTGAACGATACAACGACATGCGTACCGCATCTCACCGCACAGCAAAGCAGATACGCACAAACCACTCTACAATGCTGGATGCAATGGATGGATGGTTCTCAGACCTGCCGGCACGACGGAAAACAGGAGGGCATGCACAGCGCACTGCAACACAGTACAACACAAAAGAAAACAATTCAATTCAATACAATACAACACAGAACAACACAGAACAAAACAGAATAGCACAACCAGACCGTCTGGATAGATCATACGCCAACAGCAGCAGCAACAAAATAATAGTCTAGTTATCCGTTTCGGTACAGATTGATTGCAATGCGGGCGCACGCATCGCGTCACGTCACGTCTTGCCTAGTCTCTGCCATCGCTTCGATGCTGGTGCCGTGTTTGCAGAACTAGCAGCCATTTGTAGTCACGTTTCGTGCGGTACGTACTCGTCTTTGCCGAGTTCCATCGGTGCACTCCCGGCTACCATCAGGACTGCCTGGCTGGCAAGCTGGTGGATGGTGTCCTTCTTGTCGCTCTCTAGCAAGGACTATCCTGGATAGCATCAAGGCGTCACGCGACATCTTCGAGCCTCCCGAGAAATCCATTCGAGAAGCATACTTTTACTCGTAGTTTTGACCATGAAGCTTGTGGGAATGACAGATGAAAGCACCACAATCTATGGATGCAGAAACCCGACCATTCTACGAATCACACATGCCGAAGAGTAATATTACGAGAACCCCGGTGGTCCTCAATCTGCAAGGGCAATGGCCTTCGTCTTTTTTTCTCCTTTCAAACTACCATGCCGTCCATCAATCACCAATCAGATGTAGACATTGGGAAAATAGTGGTGCTGCTAGCAGTAGCCGCCCGCCATGCCCTGAATGGTATAGATACTCGACGTCTCGTGTCCATACAACAAGGAATCATCATTCTTATTAAACTACACGAGATAGTCATGGCGACAGAGTTGCAGCAAGCCAATTCACGATAGAACAGGTTTCTATTACAGTAGTATTTTAAACATAAAACACAAATTATTTCGCAGGGCATTCGAGTGCGTTCTGCCGTGCTGTCGTTGCCGGGACAGCTGCTGGTCGGCTACCGTTTCGGCCCTTTGGATGCCGCTGCCTAGCACGTCTCGGACACAACAAAGGCGTCGCTGACGGCAAAGGCAATGTACGGCTGCGCCGAGTTTCTTGCAATGATTGCGACGTAGGTTCCCACCTGCAAAGGCCACTGNCGGTACAATGGACTGAAAACAAACAAATTGTCATGCACCACCGCAACGAACGGGGATGACTGTGCTGCACGTAACTTTGCTATGGAACGGGACGGGGTACTTGTACCGATTACTTAGTACGTGCTGTACGTACGGTAAGTGTCCGAGAACATTTGGAAGCGTTGGGTCGGTTTTATCGTACAGGACTGTACGTAGTAACGGGTACGGGTAGGACTACGAAGACAGGAAAAAAGGACCATCATCCGCGTCGTTCCCGGAGGGGGAGAAAGTGGCGATCGGAAAAAGCAAAAAGCAAAAAGCCTTCTTCTCTCACCGAGAAGAGCACGAACAACAACGACATCGGCAACGACGACAACAAAGCCGGACCGAGCGAATCGAAACAAGACGCAAGTTGCTCCTCGCAAAGATTGTATCTAAAAGGGAGCAGGCAGCGTTGCTGAAACAATCGACACCGCAACTCGCACTACTCGCAAGGCACTCCGCCAAACACCTTGCGATCCCGTTTCGCATCACATCGCATCGAATCATATCACATCACATCACATCACATCACCCGGTCCTGACGCAGTGACTGTACATAGGACCGCAATTTGGTTCCAGTGTTAGTGCCAGTATCAATTCCACCGAGCAGATCAATACGCAGAGAAGTTTGTAGACTCCAGTGCAACGGCCTGAGAAAAAAAAAACAGTCACAAACCAAACCAAACCAAACGGTTTGTTGCAGCCTTTTGTCCCATCGGAAGGACACCAAGGAAACCAACAACGCAAACCCATTGTTCACCGAAAGAACGGCAATAGAAACCGCTACCATGGTGCCCTCGATAAGTGAAGCGAAAGACACCATAGAAGAAAAGCCCCCGGAGGAAAAGAAGGAAAAGGCCGACGCCAAGGCCGACTCGGCGGCCACGGCTACGGCTACGGAACCCGCGAAGAAGAAAAAGAAGAAGAAAAAAGAGGGCAACACCGCGTCGTCGTCATCGCCGGTTTCCACATCGGCATCGGCCAACGGTTCCTCCAAGGACAAGGAAAGCGTGGCCGACGCCAAGAAGGAAAAGGAACCCGCAGAGAAGAAGAAACAGAAACCCGCCAAAGACGCCGGGGACAAGGCCCCGGAGGAGGACGCCAAAGCCAAACCCGAAGCTTCTTCGGAAACGGGCAAGCCGGCCGAGAAAGAGGCCGAACCCGCCAAACCAAAACCGCAGAGCAACGATCCCAGCGAGGGACCGGTGGTCTCCG